GAGACAACTCCGGTAAGACATGATTGTACATTGTACTGCTGTAGCAGCCTGACTCCTAACTATTATGTCGCTTCATACATAAGCACCCGCAAGAAAATAAATCATTCTCTTTGGCCTCAACTTCTTTGGTGTCCGGGAGGCCATTGCAGCCGTCGTCTAGGGCGCGACGTTACACCCTAAACTACTACACTGTACACTGTACTAGTGTCGTCGGGTGTTTGACCTGACAATGGGCTTATCCGCTGCTCTCCCTTTCACACGCGTACTCGACAGCTCTGAGCAACAGTTTCTTCTAGTGTTTACGAGGAGAGTTCAGGAAAGAAGCAAATGAATGTTTACAAGAGAAATTGTAATATCATGCATATACGCATGTGCACAGAGGCGCAACCCGTGCAGTTCGCGCAGCGAACCCCGAGAGAAAGGAACTCCGTAGAGTCCAAAGGACGACACTAAAGTACTGCCGGATGCCGCAGAACGGAGAGCCGAAGAACGACCAAGCTAGAATTTCAACAAGCACAGCATACCAATGTACACACGGCGACTCAACTGTGCAAGACTGTAGTAAATGAAAATAAGAACGGTCTAGGCTAGGCGGCTGTACTGTACTTTACCAAAATAACTTGCTAATTATGCGCAAAGTGCTCGATACTGCGATGCAACAGCCATGATTACAAAAGTTTTCAAAGGAACCAGGCTTGTTCATGTGAACGCTTGTGTACTACAATTCCCTAGGAAAGTGTGTCGTTGGTTGGAAAAGTGTACAAAGAGACTGCACATTTCTGCTGGACCTATGTCAGTGTTGCTGTGCGGCACTATCATGCCTTCTCCGCCCTGCTCCCCGTAGAGGCCCAGGCCTGTACCGAAGCGCCTAATCTGCAGAACTACGTGCTCTTCCAGCAGATGCACCTTGGGCGTCATACGTGCAAGGCCACGACTGGCGAGCTCACGTCCCACGGAGGACAGGAATGTAGCAATGTGGGATTCAAGTAGCTGAATCACCATATCAGACAACTTGCTGCTGGCGCTATAAATACCTCGGCAGGAATCAAATTCTGTAGAGTGTGTAGCATACGGTTCTGCCACAGCGGTAGCTGAACTCTGGGGACCTACAGCATCAGGGTGGTGCTGCTCACGGTGGCCACAAAGTGCCGCAGTAATCAGCTTTGCAGCAGACGGCGTGATCACGCACATGATTGCCGATAAAGGCACCGCTGTGATAATGCTGATGGCAGCTGTTGAGTCCCTGCAGGACTGGCTCGTATGCCCTACTGCATGGACCGTCTTTAACTGGCTCCGTAAGCTCCGCTTCCAACTCTGCTTTCCTCCATCCTTTCCAAGTCCTCAGTGGTTTTGTGCAAGCCCTGCATTTTCAATTTCAGTCCACCTATCACTGCGCGCAGTTGCATGTGTTGCGGGGTTTCCATGTTTTCAGGCAAGTGCATGACTGCCCAACGAAGCTGATTGTGGACATTGGCCATTTCTAGCTGCATGTTGTTGATTTGTGCATTGCATGCAAACAACTTCTTGTGCGTGTCCACCAAGTCGGTGAATGACGTCTGACCACTTGCATGCTCTGTGTCTTCTTTGGCTATGTATGTCGCCAACTCGATATCTACTTGGTTTGTGTCTGTGAGCATGCACTGGAAGAGGAGAGGAAAGATGCCCGGGTCTTGGTGCAGTGTGGGTTTGCGAGGGCCAGCTACTACACATGTATCCTCCAAAGAAATGGCCATGATGACAGGTCGAATGGTGTTGGTAAATTTCCGTGTGTCGGAGATGTTGCCACCGCTTCCCACGAATGCAGCATGGCCACTGGCCGGCCTGGCAAGATCTTGTCAACAGTATTATCTTTATTCTCACGATGGCCGTAGCCAATAAGAGAGAGACAGTACTATGTGTTATCAATCAGAGTGGGTGCAATAAACCGGGAGAAATGGTGGCTAGTGGCAGCCGTGGTTTGGGTGCTTCATTTAAGTAAAGACGAAGAAGGAAGTATATCCACTGCGAAGGCAGGTAGGCGATAGACCTTGATTGAAATAATATACCTATGCTGGGCTACAGCGGGGGTTGGAGCATGTGCAAATTGATGATACTATGATCGGGGTAACAGTGCACCGCTCAGCACAAAGTGTTGCGACAGCAGGCTCTAATAGTCACTGCAAACTCTCCTAACTTGCAAACAGGTCAGCCAAAATTCATCTTCACAACAAGAGAGGGCTGGAGAAAGGACACACGTGAAGAAGAAAGCAATGGGGGATGACGAGAAGAAGGCTACCGAAAAACAACTTTCATTCAAGCTACAAACGCCAAATCTTCACAGATCATTCTTCATCCTTCGTACTTGCGTAAAGAAGCGTAAAAATGGGTGTAAAGCCTCCAGGACTGGGCAGGGGCTAGACATTGGGCAATATCAAAAACAAATGGGGGGGGGGGGGGGTGAGGGTGGGAGGGGGATTGGAAGATTGAGCTCTAATAGCCCACGTGTTATTGCTTCAAAAGTTCTGCAGATGAAATTATTGGTGCATCTTTAAACTCACCTGCCGCACCAGTTCCGACTCCCCTGAAACATGACACTGCTGTCGTCACCTCTATTGTCAGTCCTCTTTGATTTTAAAATATAGCCTTGCACTTTCTCTGGTGTGTGACATTGTGCTCTTGTAGATGGCCAACTCAGACTTCTGTTCCAAGCAAGGCAGTAGCCTGTGTGGTGTGTGCAGCTGCAACCCAGGATTCAGAGAGTAAGTTATGGCGTCGAGCTATGTGTGCTCTTGACCAGCCAACCCTCAAGTACTGCACGTGTACAGTTATAATGCTTACACATACTTTATAATCCTGTTGGTCAATCTGTGGACAGAACTGTTTCGTCCTTTGTGGACTCATCAGCGCAGCACAGAGAAAATGAATACTGTTGGCCATGGAGTTGAGCCCGTCTTCATTCTTGTGTGTTGTGCCCTCCGTTGTGCTCTCTTCACATTTCCAGTAAGCAGTCCAACGTCTCACGGTGTGATTGCAACACGCTGGATCAAACACCTTGCATGTAAGTCGTCTCTCTCTTCTCTTTTCCGGTCTAGCTAGTGCATTTGTGTGTGCATTTGTGTTGTCTTTGCGGACGTCTGGGCAAGCACCAACCCTAATGCTGCCTGTGCATTTCCATGGCAACCACTATCTTGTGTTATCATTCTTATAATGTCCATCTGTCTGTCTGCTTTCCTGCCCCCCTCTCTCTCTCTCTCTCTCTCTCTCTCTCTCTCTCTCTCTCTCTCTCTCTCTCTCTCTCTCTCTCTCTCTCTCTCTCTCTCTCTCTCTCTCTCTCTCTCTCTCTCTCTCTCTCTCTCTCTCTCTCTCTCTCTCTCTCTCTCTCTCTCTCTCTCTCTCTCTCTCTCTCTCTCTCTCTCTCTCTCTCTCTGTCTCTGTCTCTGTCTCTGTCTCTGTCTCTGTCTCTGTCTCTGTCTCTCTCTCTCTGTCTCTCTCTCTGTCTCTCTCTCTCTGTCTCTCTTTCTTTCTTTCTTTCTTTCTTTCTCTCTCTGTCTCACTCTGTCAATCTCCTATGCACAGTCAATCACTAGGCAGTCCTGTATGTGGTGGTCGTGGCGAGTGTGTCTGCCAGCAATGCCAGTGCGGCAAGCCAGCCGGTGCAACGGTAACTTAGAGCTGTCACTGTTACTAGTAAAGTGCTTGCAATTGCTTGGGGGGCAGGGGGGGGGGCAGGGGGGGAGGGGCTTTCAAGATCAAATGTAATTGTTCAGATGTCAACTGTGATGTAAAAAAAGTGGCCAAATTCTATCCGAGCACCAGTTCTGCAAGCGTAGGCATGGCGGTCTATTGCAGCTTTTTGCATATCCCAACAGGGATTGAGTTAATGCAAGGCCGGTGTACAAGAAGTGAAGAAGAGTGCCTGGCTCACACTCAAACTATGAAGCAATTTCGGCCAATGATTCGAGTGCAATCACATCTGTGTTATGTGACAAAGATGGGATCATGGCATGCGATCAGTGGAACTGACATGACCGACATCTTGTGACCCATAGATGGAGAGAGTGACTTGGGTTAGAACTAACATGGCCGACGTCATGTGACCCATAGATGGAGAGATTGACCGGGGTTGGAACTAACATGGCCAACATCATGTAACCCATAAATGCAGGGGTTGAGTGTCTGTTGAGTGTCTGGTGTTGTAACCAACATGGCTGCCCTGTATTGTCATGTGATGGGTGTACAGCAGCTGTATAGAGGATGAGAACTTCAGTGCATACAGGAGTGGTAGTGTGTTGTATCACTATGACATTGCATGCTTTCTATCCTGCGCCACCCTTGTTGTGCGTGATGCAGATTCCTGACGCTGCTTATTCCGGGAAGTTTTGTGAATGTGATAACTTCAACTGCCCGCTCTCTGATACGGGAGCCATCTGTGGAGGTAAGACTGGTAACTGATGACTGTCGCATCGCATCACACTCAGAAATACTTTCCAAAAGAGATGATTAGAAATAATAGTCAGAGGTTTCAATATCTTCCCACGACGCAAGAAGACGCATTTCACCAGCAATATTTGGATCTGTGCACCCTGAACGAATATTTGATCATGTTGCGATGTCGTACCCCCTACACCCACACCTCTACACCCCTAAACCCCTACGCTCCTGCTTGACAGCGTTCTACCCTGGAATGGGTGGGTACGTTCATTGCGGGCATGAAGCCATTCTTGAGTGGCATAGATGCAGCGAATAATATTGGTCCCCACATGCGATTAGCTACGCGTTGCCGTGGCAACTGTATTTGGCACCCTGGTGTGCAAACCTTTGCATGTGAGTGTGATGTCACATGCACGACTGCCTAATGAGTGACTGCTACGAGCGCCTCTGAGCAACATTGATAATCACGTGTACCGCAGCGCAACATAGCACATCTCCCTGCGCATGCGTGACTCACTGTGTGCTCTGAGGAAGTTGCAGGGCTCTTCTTTTAACCAGACAAGACCACACGATGCTGGCAGATGCCGACACAAACAGTTCAACAGCTACACTCCACGACGGCAAGCGGTTACTCCTTACAAATCTTTCGTTATCGGTTTTTGCAGTGCTGTGGGAATGGGTGTGTGCACCCTACTACTCTCTAAATCTTGTTTCATTTCGTAATAGGAGTAACTACTTGCTGGTGTCTAGTGTGGCTGGTGAACTGTTTGTGATGGGGTCTGCCAGCGTTGTGTGGTCTCGTCTGGTCACAAGAAGGACGTATCACTACTACCGGCATGGACAAACGGACAAAACAAAAAGGGCATTAACAATTTTTTGCTATGTAAATGTGTGTGTGCGTGTGTGTGTGTGTGTGTACGTGTGTGCGTGCGTGTGTGTGTGCGTGTGTGTGCGTGTGTGTGCGTGTGTGTGCGTGTGTGTGTGTGTGTGTGTGTGTGTGTGTGTGTGTGTGTGTATGTGTGTTGTGCTGTATCATTGAATGTGTTGGTTCTGTGCTGCTCAGGTCCTGCTCAAGGTTCCTGTGTGTGTGGCAAGTGTCAATGCAAGGCTGACTACACTGGGTCCAACTGTGGCTGTCCACTGTTGGCGGACACGTGTAGACAAACACCCGGGGTAAGCTACAAGCCTGCACATTCACAGTCCGGAACAGTCCTGAACACAGTCCTGAATCCCGTGTCTGTTTTTTTGTGACATACAACGGTGTGTATTTTAGTGTTTTAGTTAGGATTCCCCAAAGGCTTTCGCCTATCGAGGGGGTTTCCAAACTTTCCATAATACTGAATCTGTAAAAGAAGTAATGAGCAATAGGTGAGCAAAAAAAGAGAAAAAGACATAGTCTAGTTTTTAGCCGAGTCTTACGCGAACCATGATTTTTTTCCCTAGGCAGGCCGTCATGTGACACAGGTTTACGTGCATGTTCCAACATGCCCGGGGAGCAGAGGCCCGTGGAGTGTAACACACTAGGTGGTCACATGACTAAGAACCCGGCTCACGTGTGTTGAAACACGGTCTTGGAGTGGAGTGGAGCTTAGTGTGAGCTATGAACAAACATGTGGTCATGTGACACGGCGTCCACTGCACATGCATGATGTTAAACTGCACTTTCTTAACCCCCCCCCCCCCCCCCCAGTACATCATGATTGGGTACAATACCTCAGTACGAGCTTAAAGTACACTGCACTGGCTTCTGCTTGAGTCACGGTAAAGAAACTATTTTCAGACTTGGATTCATGACGAGCTCTGCCAGTCTCCTCTCTCATGAAGCCCAGCGCTGTCAAACTGGCCTGCACTGTGGAGAGCGAGCGGTGTTAGTGTGTAGAATGACTGTGCCGTGACTGTGGAGAGTGAGCTGTGTAGAATGACTGTGCACAGTGGAGAGTGAGCTGTGTAGAATGACTGTGCACAGTGGAGAGTGAGCTGTGTAGAATGACTGTGCACAGTGGAGAGTGAGCTGTGTAGAATGACTGTGCACAGTGGAGAGTGAGCTGTGTAGAATGACTGTGCACTGTGGAGAGTGAGCTGTGTAGAATGACTGTGCCGTGACTGTGGAGAGTGAGCTGTGTAGAATGTCTGTTCTACAGTGCATTTCAAAACTATAGACGAGTAGGGTTTTTGAAATATTTCAAATTTGGCTGGAACTTTTTGAGAATAGTTTTCGGAATATTGCTCAGGATCGCTCCACAATTACTCTCATTATAGTTTCTAAAGGATTGGATAACAGTCGCCCAATTTGGAAAAATTTATGCACAAAGTGATCACAGATTTTATGTGGTATAGATGCTGGCATAACGTTTTTTGCCTAGGTACGCGTCTATAGTTTTGAAATGGACTGTAAGTGCACATGTACATGTACATTTGTCTCAACACAATTGTATAGCCAGTGGTAACGCGAATGTGTGAACTTCACTTTTTCTTTCTTTACATCTGTGTGCTGTCCATTGCAGGCTGAGCCATGCAGTGGTCGTGGATCATGCATGTGTGGTGAATGCACGTGCCAGAGAGATTATGATGGAGCTTACTGTGAGAAGTGCTCCGAGGCTGAGACACCCGTGAGTATGCCATGGCGGTTGTGTGTGTATGGGGGGGGGGGGGGGGGGGGGGAGGGGGTGCATGTGTGCATGCGTATGTGCATGCATGTGTGTGTGTGTGCATGTGCATGTGTGTGTATGCGCTTCCTTGCGTGTGTGCATGCATGCATAGGTGTGTGTGTGTGTGTCTGTGTATGTCTGTGTGTGTATGTATGCGTGTATGTACGCGTGTTTGGTGGTGGGGGAAGTTCTGATTGAAGATCATACTGTATATGAACAATAAATTATCAATACCTTGTTTGACGATAACCACTGAAGATTGTTCCAAGAAAACGTTCCGGGTAACCCTTATCGGGATTTGTGGGGATTTGTATGTTAGAATGAAAGCCAACTTGCCGCCCATGTTATTGATAGCTGTGATTTAATTATGTCAACGCCGTTTATCAAATTGACATGTCTTGATAAAAACAGTACAGGCATTTGGATGAGGGAAGCTTGGCTTCAGATGATTTTTCAACTCACAATAATGGCTGTCACTTCACTAAAACGCAATTACTTCCAACTCCTTGTGCATAGTTTACTAGCCGAAGTATGTATATCCATTTGTTCATTTGTTTCTGTGTGTGTGTGTGTGCGTGTATGTACGTGCGTTTGTGTGCGTGCATGTGCGTACATGTGCGTACATGTGCGTGTGTGTGCACATGTGCGTGCTTGCGAGCATGCGAGCACGTGTGTGTGTGTGTGTGTGTGTGTGTGTGTGTGTGTGTGTATGTGTGTGTGTGTGTGTGTGTGTGTGTGTGTGTGTATGTGTGTCCATGTATGTGCATGCATGTGTACGTACATGTGTGAGTGTGTATGTGTGTCCATGTGTGTGCATGCATGTGTGCATGCATGTGTACGTACATGTGTGAATGTATGTGATGTGCGTGAACCGTTGTAACAGTGTGACAGAGCGGCAAGGTGCTTCAACTGTTCGCAAGCCAGCGAGGGCAAGTGTGCAGCAGACTGTCCTGGTGTCAATCCTACCTATAGCGAAGAAGACAACCCCACTGTCAATGGTGAGAACAGTTATCTAGACACAGTAGACAATACACACACCAACACATGCATACGCACACACGGAGGGAGGGAGGGTGGAGCGGGCGGGAGGGAGCGGGAGGGAGGGAGGGAGTGAGTGAGGGAGAGAGAGAGAGTGTGTGTGTGTGAGAGAGAGAGAGTGTGTGTGTGTGAGAGAGAAAGAGAGAGACGGAGAGGGAGACGGAGAGATAGGGGCGGAGAGACAGGCACAGGACGAGAGAGACGAACACCGATATGATTTGGAAAAAATACTTTCAACAGGTATGATGTCAAAACGTTGAATACAATCAGTGTTCATCTGGAGTCTTGCTCCTGTTCTGTGGCTCGGCTATTCTCAGTTATGAGTACAAATCTATTCTCAGTTATGAGTACAAATCTTCCAGCTTGACCTGTGCTGATATGTCATCATTTTGAAAATCAACCTTCGGACTACGATACAGAAAAACAAACGGAAAGACAGAGGCAGTGTTCACTTGAGCAACCAGTAAAACTTAGCGTTCATTTCTGTGTCCTGGATTCATGCAGGTAATCCCGCTCTACAATGCCTGACACCATCGCCGTACACAATCTCCCTGGACAAGTGCTCCGTCAATCAGTTCTACACTGATTTCACATTTGTCAGTGATGGAGGTTGCACTCTGAAGTTCTCCCCATTTGTGGTTAAAGGTGAGTTTAACTCGGCCAGCAGTAATGATATGACCTGATCACATTATTGTATGAGCCGTGCAGTGTTGCAATGGCTTCATAACAGGATGGCATGAGTCATGCAGTGTTCCCATGATCCACCTTAATTATCGTGTGAGTCATGCATTTTTGCCATGACCTCATCACATTGGTGTATGAGTCATGCAGTGTTGCCATAGCCTCATACATTTTGGATGGTATTGGAAATATTATCAACCTGACTGTATAGTTTGGTTGGATTTTGGTTGTTATTTCAGTTTGTTGCTCGTTAGTACGGAATACATACAGAGGACTTGCAATGGACAAGAACATGGCTTTGTGTTGTCATGGTACTAAAGAGAATTGCGCTGGGGTGGTGGAATTCTAGCCTATTCTTTCTTTTAGATTTGAAGTGCAGCTTTAAGCCGGTAAAACTGGAGTATGTGTCGCTGTACATATACTACATGTACAAGCTTAGAATTGTAGGCATCATGGCTGCATGTGTACGGTCGGTCTGTGTGAATGCGTTCGCCTCTCCTCTCATACTTCATAGGCATCAGAGCCGGCGGGCCAGTTACCCCTGCGTGAGCCGACCCAATATTCTGGCCTTTTTCTTAGCACCTCAGGCGCCCACGTATTGAATTTTGCTAGGCTTCATTTTATCATGCGAAGGTGGCAGATGCCTTCAAGAGCCACTATTTACATGTAACTTGATTGTGTCAAATCCTACGGTACCTCCCCGGGACCTCCCTGGGACCTCCCCGGGACCTTCCCGGGACCTCCCTAGGACCTCCCCGGATCCACTGTGCTGTGTACGTCACCTTCAGGCGAGGCCAGGTCAATCAAAATACAGCAGTTCCTCCGACGCCCGTTGTGTACATGTTACTATCTATGTGTGCACAGCCTGTACAGAAGCTCAGGAAGTCAACTACGTGCCGCTAACGGTCGCACCGGCTCTGGCCCTGCTTGCCGTGGCTCTGATCGCTCTCATCCTACTCAAGGGTGTCTGCTATTACAGGGTTAGTTTTACGGTGGGTCTGATCTACTCACCTCTCACCGCTTTAGGAGCTGCATCTGCGCCTTGATCCTTAATGGGTGGTGACGTTCCTACAGATGAGGAAAACTCGGCCCACAGACGGCGTCTCACATGAACCATGTATTCTTGTGTACTGTGTGTGTTATGTTGTTCTTACTCCTTGGATGGTCAAAGACAAAATACAGACAAAGAACCTAAGAGAAGCTACAGTCAAACCTCGTTAGGACGAACTTCAAGGGACTGAACAAATTTGTTTGTCTTATCGGGAGTTCTTCTTATCCAGATCTGACAAAAAAATCGATATGCATATAATTATGGATTGTATTTCCGTGAAGGTGCATGCTGTGGTACATGGGAAGCATTTTATTCTTAGCATATTCCAGAAACAGGTAAGTACAATGACAATGTGCAATGAACCACGACTGTGCCGAAAGTATTAGTTCGTACAACGCACTGATTATTTTGTTCAAAACACGCTTGAAAACAATTTGCATTGTACGTACAATATGGCCTCGACTATTGAACAAATAAAAGAAAAATAGGCAGCCAGCGCACGCACACGCTCGTGGACCGAACGTTCGTACTACATGTACTTGACCACACTGATTTTGTTCAAATCACACTTGAAAATAGTTTGTCTTCGCGAAAGTTCGCTGTTCAGAAGCCGTTTGTCGTAAACGAATAATTTTGACTTGAATTGATGCCTGGCCAACCATAGGAGGGGCCCTAGTTCGTACCAATGGAAAGCTCGCCTTATCAGTGTTCGTCCTAACCAGGTTTGACTGTACAAGGATAACTGCGTTGCTACTAAGTCTAGCTACCGTACTGGCAATATATATGGTCGCAGTGAGGCCATGAAGTGTTACATTGGCACATGTTTACCGCACGCAGGGCGTTACATGCAAAGTCGCACAGGAGCCGTTACACAGGTTTCTATATTGCCGCAGTCCTTTTTTTGCTATTGCAGGACTTCCTGCTGCGTCCAGTTTTGAACTTTTCACCACGCGGTACACGTGCTTTCACAGTTTTCAGCCTTTTTTGCAATGAAAAGATCGCCGCACCCCGCCGGAAGCGCGTTACGAACGCAACGAAAATTTGTCGCACTAGCCTGGTCGCGCGTTACGCCGCACCCCCCCCCCCCCCCCCCCCTGCGTTACGCGTTACGCGGCAACATATATTGCCAGTACGGTAGTATAAAAGCGGGGTGATTCCAGTGCCGGTCGTGCTCATACCCAGATGACACTAAAGGTGTTCTAGTTGTCCGCAAACTCCAACGCAGCCATTTACACAGTTATGTATCAATGGATATTTTGCCATTCAGTACTCTGATGATGGGCCAGGCCCGAAAATTTGGTGTAATGTAAATTTGAGTTTGAATCGCAGTGAAGAGACCGTTTTTGGAGTTTGCAGTTGAGAAGTGAAGTTTCCTAAACGGTAAAGGTTGTTTTAAACACCTTGCATCTATTCAGCATATGGGCGATTTGTCACCTTTTTTGACTCTTTGCCACACCTTTCCGGTCCGTGTGTGGACAACCGACCAGTGCAAGATCTGTGAAGCATGATCTGTGTGTGTGTGTGTGTGTGTGTGTGTATGTGTGTGTGTGTGTGTGTGTGTGTGTGTGTGTGTGTGTGTGTGTGTGTGTGTCAGGGTATGTGTCTATGTGTGTGCCTGTGTGTATATGTCTATGTGTGTCTGTGTCTGTGTGTGTGCGTGCGCGCGTGCGTGTGTGTGTGTGCATGCGTGTGTGCGTATGCATTTGTGCATGGCACAGGACCATGTTGAGTACAAGAAGTTCATGAAGGAAGTGAAACGCTCGCAAAACCAGGGCAACGTAAGCATACTGCCGCATATTTGTCTGTATGGCTACTCCGGTACTCACGGCATTCACTGTGACAATGGGTTTCCTCATTGACTCGGTCACTTGCCGACTCCCTCGCTCACTAAGTACAGTCGATGCAATGACCTCGCTCACTAAGTACAGTCGATGCAATGACCTCGCTCACTAAGTACAGTCGATGCAATGACCTCGCTCACTAAGTACAGTCGATGCAATGACCTCGCTCACTAAGTACAGTCGATGCAATGACCTCGCTCACTAAGTACAGTCGATGCAATGACCTCGCTCACTAAGTACAGTCGATGCAATGACCTCGCTCACTAAGTACAGTCGATGCAATGACCTCGCTCACTAAGTACAGTCGATGCAATGACCTCGCTCACTAAGTACAGTCGATGCAATGACCTCGCTCACTAAGTACAGTCGATGCAATGACCTCGCTCACTAAGTACAGTCGATGCAATGACCTCGCTCACTAAGTACAGTCGATGCAATGACCTCGCTCACTAAGTACAGTCGATGCAATGACCTCGCTCACTAAGTACAGTCGATGCAATGACCTCGCTCACTAAGTACAGTCGATGCAATGACCTCGCTCACTAAGTACAGTCGATGCAATGACCTCGCTCACTAAGTACAGTCGATGCAATGACCTCGCTCACTAAGTACAGTCGATGCAATGACCTCGCTCACTAAGTACAGTCGATGCAATGACCTCGCTCACTAAGTACAGTCGATGCAATGACCTCGCTCACTAAGTACAGTCGATTTAGTTAGAGGTTTGCACCGCACAACCATAATGCAGTCAGACCTCGCATAACTGCAGACATCTGTTTTCCACAAAAATATCCGGAAAGGCGAGGGAACCGGATAATCGAACACACATACTGTATGTATACATGACATATGCTGTAAATCTGTAACCAACGATTTTCTTCCAGATGGCGAGGGATCCGGATAAAAGAGGACCGGATAAGCGAGGTCTGACTGAATGTGAGACTGACGTGCCTGGCAAAGTGGTCTGTAGTACCAGGCTGGTCGCTAGTCATGGTGGTCTTTAGGTACAGGTTTTACGGTACATGATTGTATGCAATGGCCTACACTAGGGGTCAAACGGGTGTACCGGGTACCTGGGTACCCGCCCGTTAATCTCAGGTACCGTTAGTAAAAGGGTACCCGTTTGTAAAAAAAAAAAAAAAAAAAAAAAAAAAAAAGGTGATCCTATCGTATTCCAAGACTCAAAAATTTAAATAGGAGTGCGGATACTCTTTTCCTTTTTCCTGTGCATTCCCGCTTTCGACTTTATCAGGCAGGAGCAGGCTGAAAGACAGACTTGACAGTTGTTCTCTCCACTCTAGTACAAGTAAAAATCCTCGTACTGGAGGTTTTTGATTGTGATGTGAGAAAATGCAAGACTTGAAACTCGTTTGAGGTGGCGGCTGAGTACAAGTAACTAGAAAGTTACGATGGTTCTCCGACATCGAACCTGCCACAGTACTTGATGAACTAGTGTCACCAGGCTGAGTGACCAGTCGGAGTGTCACACACGGTGATGTCCGTAGGTGGTAGCTACATGTATGATACTCATGGTTGTAGTTTGTTCCTTCAATCGACGAGCTGAAAAGTAGTTCGAAATTATTGCATACAAGATTACGGATTTGTGAAGATTCATTTCACGAGTTCAACAAGCTAGCACTAGCAGCTAGCTGGCCAGCAGCACATCAGCTGTGTCAGGCACCCCAGCTAGCTATGGGTGCGAACATCTTCTGAATGCAACGCCTTGCATGGCTTGAATCACATCGATCTGCAGTGATTTGCGTACATGTATCAAAATACATGTAGCTTGTAGGACCATCTACATGTACGATTGTTAGGCCGCAACCACACTACGTAAAAATCACAGTACAAATGTTCATGCATATCTCAGTACAAGTCGGTAAGCAACCACACTACACTTTTCGGTCTGCATAGATGACGTTTTCACGCAAACAGCACGTGACATTGTCGTACCAAAGCGTGTGCCATGCGCTGGAAAAGACCGGGAAATTCAAAAACAATGCTGATGCTGATGCTATGTACGACGACCAGGTACAAAAAAAAGTTGTACACAGGAGATGGAGCGCGAAAACGACGAAAACGACAAACGTGACTTTCTACAGGGGTGCGCCAGTTGCTGAAAACCTACAAAGCGCATTTTGCATTTCGCACGCGTCGGCATGACGATTTCTACTGTAATGCCGTTTGTACGTGATTTTGTACCTAGTGTGGTTGCAGCCTAAGTTACTGCCTGTGAAGTTATGTACATGGGCAAATGCACGGATGACATTCATTTGGAACCTTCATTGCCATAATAATATTATGATACACGAATCAATTGCGAATCATAATGTAGTATCAAAATACAACCTGAGAATATACAAATTTAAATCATGATTTATGTGAGAAATGCGCAATAAAATAATATGGCTGCTAAAGGGTACCCGTTAACCCGCCCGTTAAGAAAATTACCCGTCCGTTAGTTAAAGGTACACCCGTTTGACCCCTAGCCTACACACTGAATCACTCACTACAGACCCCATCTGCCATCAGTTCCCCCCTCTTTTTTGGGAAGCAACGGAAGTAAGACAGTTCTACCGACCTTCAATACGGCACTCACTTGTGCCGCTAAACACTCATCGACTATAGTGCTTGAAAGTCATACATTAAAATCAGACCTGAGTCCTGACAACGCTGACTCTGGGGGTCCTGGCTTTGTATGCAATGCCATGCATCCGTGTTGCCTGATTGTTGAGTATGAAAAAGGACGACGACTTATTCTCCAGACATTACAACGGACAACGGGAACAGGTTAGGTCGAACAACATTTATTGGGGAGACAAAGAGACTGAGACAAAGACGAACGAAACGACGACATTGTGGAGAGAGGGACAAAAGATAGAGATCAAGTGTGAACGGCAAGATAAAGGGCCTGCGTAGCTATGGCAATTATTGGCGCGCAAGTAGCTACCCAGGCCAACGGGACAAAAGGAGACAAAAGGTGAGCACGAGAGTGCATGCAGGCCAGCTTGAATAAGGTTGTAGAACGTCCGGGAGGGGGTACCTAACATGATGATTGGACAAGCATGAAACTCAGAGTAGCGACAAACTAGCCTTGTTGCCCTTGTTGTTGTTCTGTGTATGCATCTGTGCACATTTTGGATTGATCGGCCGAAAGGGTGTATCTTGCCTCCTTTGATAAATTCTTGTATTGTATTGTATTGTGTTGTGCTGTGATAGGAGGTGAATCCAATCTTCAATCCCGCCCGCAAGGTCTACGTCAACCCGGAGTACCAGGGAGAACACGAGAAGGAGAGAAACGGTGTGGATAGCAAGCGTTACGACTTCTAAGCCTACTGCTACGACTTCTAAGCCGAGCTGTGATGTTAATATTAGACTAGTGCTATGATTTCTAAGTTCAGTATTGCACTATCTAAGTCTAGCAGCGATGCATGCGTTGAGACTATTTCTAAGGTTGAAGAAGGGCAAGTTGGATTGTCTTGATCAAGCAGAACATGAATGCAGGCCGTCTGATTGGAGTGCAGGCACAGCTGCGCCGACTGCTGCTCCATCCGAACATTGCTAGGATCTGCCTTGCGTGCCTTTATCTTCCTTTCTCGGATATTTGCTATTGATGAGACTAACTAAAACATTACGGCACCTTCTTACTACTACACCAAGCAGCTAGGTAGGTGTCACCAGTGTAACTGCATGCTGCTTGGAATGCTTGGTATGCTTGGTATGGGCCGGGCTGCTGTGTTGCATGCCTGCTCTGGTCCAATTCATGATTATACATATTTCGGAATTCCGGATGTGTTTTCGCGTAATGTAGTTAGATACCTTCTTTTCCATTAAATTACATTTTAATTTCCATCAACCACCTACTTCTACTGCAGAGTGAGGAGTGAGGAGGGTGAGAGTCCTGGGGCGGCATTACGATCAGCCGACCGTGACAATGCCGCTGGTCCACATCACCGCCGCATCGTGGGAAGCTTCACAGATGCAGAGACGACGTGTGTGCTGGTGTGCGCTTAGGCATGCGACTACTGCGCAGAATAGTCGTATTCTCCCGAGTACAAGCCGTACTTTTAACACTCGTAACTCGCCCAAAAAGTCTGTGAGGCTTACGATTGTCATTGTTATTACCTGACCGGATGGCCAAGTGCCGAAACGTAAAAATAACGGAACTGGTTAATGTGAAGTGCAGCGCTATGGGAATGGGTGTGTCCACCCGAATTCCTTTCAGAGATGAAGCTGCAGGAAGCCTCAGCCCTTCTTCAAGATTGTCAAGTGAACCGTGAGATACAGGGTACATTGTAGGTGTCTGCAATTCGTGACGAAAAGTTTGTGTACAGCGTATACTCCGGAAAATGCGGTTGAAGCTTTACTTGTTTGTGCTTCGTGCTTCGTGCTTTGTGCTTTGTGTAGACCAGGTAGACTTACAGTCCTAACCATGCCAATGATGTCGTGTGTGTGTGTGGGGGGGGGGGGGGGGGGGGGGACTGGGGAGGAATTAGTCGGCAGAACCGCTTATGGGCGCTACGTATGCAACGTGAGTTGCATATAATTTATGTACATAGCCGATCTCCGGGCTTATGGTTCATGGGGGAGCGCTTCGAAGTTCCGGCGCTTTGGCCGGGCTGATTTGCCTGCGCCGTTGTGTGAGCCCCAGCAGGATTTGTTGCTGCTGCTGCTACTGCTACTGCTGGGTGGGGCCGGAGTGAAAGTCTGGGCAATAAACTGCAGCAGGCTAGCTTATCCTTAGTCTGGGCAATAGACTGCAGCAGGCTAGCTTATTCTTAGTCTGGGCAATAGACTGCAGCAGGCTAGCTTATTCTTAGTCTGGGCAATAGACTGCAGCAGGCTAGCTTATTCTTGAGCTCAGTGCTGGCTGCATGTTCTCTCAGTCCTCTCGCCCTCCCAACACTGGCGGCTGTTGATAGCAATAGCAGTGTGAAAGGCGGCACCTGAAAGGCACAACGTGTAATGGGGTATTCACACGACAGGCAAATCCACGTGCACCGGAAAGTTGCTATGGTATTTTACCTGTGAACGAGAAAAGTGCCTGAAAGTAGCTGAAAAGTGAAAGCGAGCTCAGAGCTGAGCTGTCTGAGCTGCCCCCCTCCGGAGGTCGCGGTCACGATTTGAAACGTGGCCGCGACGTTTTGGTCAAGTTCATGCCGTTGCCATGCAACTTGGCCGCATGGCCGCATGGACGCTGGTTTTGGTCGCAGTGTGAGGTTAAGTTTCACGTAAAAGTCTTACGTCCGTGAACTTTTACGTCAAAAAGTGAAAAAACTCAAGTAAAATTTGACGTGTTTTACGTGAGTTGACTGTCCCGCACGTAAGTTCATGACGTGAGTTTTTGGAAGTTGCGCTTGGTTATTCCGACCGAATTTGTGTGAGTTTCCGGAATTTTATCGAGTTGTATCGAGTTTGTTGGAAGATTTGATATCTGTGCGAACTAAACCCGAATCCTGCCAGGCAAAATTTCACGTCACGTCGCACGTGTAACTAAAAACGTTTCTTCTCTTTAGATTTCTTTGTTTTTATGATTTCTTTTTTCTTTTTCTTTTTACCAGGCGTGGGCCATCCCCTGAATTCATAGGTGCCAAAAAAAAGCGCGAAACAAGACTTGATTTTTTACGCGGCTCTTTAGAGCATGATGTGTATGTGTGTTTTGAAAATTTGAAATACCCATGACTACTGGTCGGTGAAGCATTCAAATGCAAACGTGCCTGTCGTCGAGTGCAGCTGTGTGAATCCACACAGTCACTTTTCTCGTATGTCACTCCCTGCAACTTTCCGGTGCACGTGGATTTGCCTGTCGTGTGAATACCCCATAAGGGTTATGCGATAACGTCAAATCCACCATATATAGGAGCCAGTTGTGGTGGCAAAATGCGCAAAGCGGGTACAGAAACCCCTTTAGAAGAATTTGAGGTGGCAAACGTACTGTATAATTATGACGTGTATCGCATAACCTCTATAACAGGTTACTCTAGAAGGCCTAATACTGACTCCACTGACTCTTTATAGACTGGCGCACTATTCAAGAGAGGGCTCAGCTAATCGCGCGAGTACGGTAAGTGCAGGCGCCAACCGCAAAGCGAAAAAGTAGATAGGAATGAACGGATCTGGCCTGGACTCACATCAATACAAACTCTAGCATCTTCCTGGCGCTTGCACTTACCGTACTCGCGCGTTAGCTGAGCCCTCTCTTGAATAGTGCCCCAGTCTACTAGTATAAAGCAGGGAGTAGTACAATACCTACTATTATCCCATGGCACGGTACTATAGGCCTGTTTCAGCCAATCAGGAGCCTTGCTGACCGGGAAATAATAGCCAATACAATCCCGCGCGGGATGATATTCAATATTAACTGGGTTCACTTTTACCGTACCTACGGTGCACCCTGCATTGGCATGCCCCCCACCCCCTCTCGATTCGATGCAATGCATCTTGCCACTGGAGTCCTTTCTCCTAGTATCAGAAACCCAGCGACAAAATGCACTACACAGAACCGTGAGAGGGTGGGAGCATGCCAATGCAGAGTGCACCGTCGGTACAGTAAAAGTGAACTGAGAGAACTTACCTCCGCGACTACGTCTAAAACCAGATTCCACACAAACAAACAACGAACTCCAATCACTATTCAACTCAACACTACGACACAAAGGAGACTTCGAAGTGCATCTGTTCTCATTCACTCTTTCTAAACTCGAAAACTACACAAAGTATCACCATCCGAGTGAAAATTACTAATTGCAAGGAGAGATACCGCAACAACTCGAAAAGTACAAGACGTGAAAGTGAGAGGAAAAATCTTGTACAGAATACCAGTATTCAACAGTGTGAAAGAAGAGCTCAGCAATCCATGTGTGATGTAGATAAGATATGGATGCAAGATGCGACCTGCAGTGATTATCATGACACTGAATCCAGTACGATTACCACAAGAACAATGTAAAACGTAGATGCTGCTACAATCCAGTATGTTATAGGGTACCTCACTTCAAACTCTCCAACTACGGTCTCTTCGCTGCATATGTTCACTTCACTTCCAAAAAAACCCAAATAATATTAGATTTAAATTGAATGCACCAAATTTTCGGGCATGGCCCATCTTCAGGGTGAAAAAGAAAACCATTCAACTTTGCTTAGAAAAGTAAATCCAGTATGCCTGTAATATAACAAGATCAACGTTTTTCTGATTGCATAGTGGCCGATAGTGATACAACGAAGAGTCTTGATACAACGAAATGCACTTTACTCACTGGTGCCAATGTCCGACGATATGTACAATGTGGTTACTGCCTGCACAGGCAGTGTTCAGCAAGGATCCCAAACCGTTGAAAGTTCCACGCCGATCCAATGACAAGGAAGTCAGCACCAGCATCCATAATAGACGTGGTATCTCGCCGTGACTTGAAGTATGGCCCTTAGTTCTTACTTTGAACCAAATGACTATGTATCATAACAGTGCAATCTTCGTCAATCTCTACTTTTTTTTGTAGTCCAACTACTAAAATGCAACTTGTCTCCCGAGCTCCATCGCTCTCAAACCTTGACTGTATTGAAAAGAAAGGCAGCATCTTGTTTTTGATAGCTGTACCTTGGTAATTGTATTCAGAACGCAGTTGCGTCGATCCCCAAAATGCGTAGATGTACCTGGGATAAGTAGGATATTGACCCGCGTACTCGGGTGTTACCGTACTCTCATATCATCCCTCCTGCTACGCAGTCGGGATGATATTCGGGAGGTAACACCCTCGTACTTGGGCCTACAGTCAACTTCGCCAATAACGACATTCGGCGGGGCATCAGAAAAGTGTCCTTATTCGCGAAGTGTCCTTATAACCGAAGTCCCATTTGAATGTATGTGAACCCATATTTTGTATAGTATGACATGCATATCAAAATCAAGCTCTTTTCTTGCTCTATGTCAATGTGTACTTTATTTTCATATTGCAGTTGAAAGGAACTAAAAATTCAATATGCAAGGGAAATCAATTGAAAAGTATGCCTTTTTGAGCCATCTACAGGGCCAGAGACATGTACATGTATGATGATTACTGTACAATCTTGTACAACTACATGTACATTGTATAAAATCCAAAATCCGTTGATCCCCGAGCTGCAGAGAGTGCTCAATGTCAGAGACAGAGCTTAGTACATAGCAGACTCAGCGGAGGACGTTCAGGTTGGTTGTAACTCTGAGTTTCATGCCGCTAGGTATCAGACAACTGATACTCTGGTCTACCCAACAGTATGCTTATAAACACATAGGGCCACAAGCATAAACAAATTTAGCGCTAAATCTGGTGTGAGGTATGGGGAGAAAGCTGGCGCGGGCCAAGGCGCGACCGTGGAAGTGCCAGGAGGGTGGCGGGCAACAGGCAGGTGTGAGCATGAAAGCGCGGAAAGAGGCGATGGGGAGGCAGTGTACAGCAGATGTGTGGGGGGTGCCAGGAGGGTGGCGGACAGTGGCCCAGTGAGATCACTACAAGTAGGGAGTCGTTTGGTGACGGGCAGGCGTGAGCAGAGTGGCATCGCCAACAACAGGCCATGGGATTGTGTTATTTTATAATAATGGGTGCTCAGGCAAAGTGCAGTACAGTACTTGGTCAGTTCATGTGATAGGTGTGAAATTTGCGAGGCGGAACTTATTCTCATGCCTGCACTTCGAGACCATCTCAGACCGCTTGTTGAGTAGGAGCTTCTTGGGTGTAGTCAGGATGTGGAATTTTTCCGCGGTACAAAGATTGCATTTTTTTTGACTCACATCTGTATGATCGGCTCTTCTCCCGCACCTTCCATGTGATCGTCAACGGCTTTCCCTCGCTCTTCAGCTCCCATACGTGTTTTGCGAGCTCAGTGCTGTTTTTGTATCCATCGCCTCTTTCCGCGCTTTCATGCTCACACCTGCCTGTTGCCCGCCACCCTCCTGGCACTTCCACGGTCGCGCCTTGGCCCGCGCCAGCTTTCTCCCCATACCTCACACCAGATTTAGCGCTAAATTTGTTTATGCTTGTGGCCCTATGTGTTTATAAGCATACTGTTGGGTAGACCAGAGTATCAGTTGTCTGATGATTGCCTAGCGGCATGAAACTCAGAGTTACAACCAACCTGAACGTCCTCCGCTGAGTCTGCTATGTACATTGTATACATATACATGTAGGTGTGCTGGTAAATCCAACAATTTTGAAGCCAACATAAAAAGGAAGAAAAGCCCCCCCCTTGGCTGCATTTTCTTGCATGTGTGCATTATATCCATCACCATAGGTTCTGGTACTTCTGCATGACAGGTACATGTACTTGACTGACAGGTACTTGAAATAGCTGTCAAAAGCCCAGAAAGTCGTTATTCAAGCAGTGAATATGACCTCGGGGCACTAAAAGCATGTCGCTATACGCGAATTGTCGTTATTCACATAGTCGTTATATCCGAAGTAAAATGTGTACAGTTAGATGGGACTTTGCTCCGGGCATGGAAATTCGGTCGTTATTCGCGAATTGTCGTTATATCCGCAGTCGTTATTAGCGAAGTTGACTGTATACCTACTCCCTGGTCAAAAGTCAACTTTCGCGATGCGATGCGACAAGCGATGTTGCGTACGATTTTGACCTTTTCTACAGCAAAGTTGTACAAAGGTTCAAGAGTATTCAAGGGTAGGGCTAGTTCAGCTCGGGGCGAGCTAAGCCCGCCTGACCATGTAAACCTGTAAACGCGCGCTCTAAATGACTGGGTGACAGATCAAGGCGGGCTTATATCGCCAAGGGTTGAATAAGCCCCTCAGTACACTGATGAAATATTAGAAAAGCTGACAGGATCGCTTTTCTAAATGTGTGTATGTGTGTTTGCGCGCTAGTCATAGCCCAAATTTGCTAGCAATTCTTTGAGCAAAATATCGGATGCGCAAGTTTCCGGCAAGTTTTGAGCAAAATATCGAGTTTTGGTGGGCTTTTCGAAAAATCCAAGGCTTCTTAGGGACTTTCTCAACACAATCAGTCACCAAGGTTGAAAACAAGCACAAAAGTTGTAGAAAACAGACTCATGGCTACATTTCAGTGGAAAGTTGAGCAGCAGAGGGAGCTCAATCAAAAATATCGTCGTCATCAGCGACAATTATCGTTGAGTTTCCCCTTAGGGCCTGGTCAGACTGCGGCAAATTTTGGTTGCCTGACGAAAAAAGAACAGCGTCCAGAATTTGAATCGCGATCACACTACACATGTGGGGAGAGTGAAAATTCAAACTTCATTTCGAGCGTCAAGTGGTAATCTCCACGAACGACGTCAAATTCCTTCACCTTGGGGATCGCCAACACCTTCAGTGCAATCCTTGCAACCATCCTCATGAGTTTTGTTGTTGTCCGTGGCCAATAAGCTCCTCGATATCGAGATGAAAAAATCAGTGATTATCAGCGTCAATGGCGTATCAGCGTCAAATCCTGTTTGGAGCGGAAAAGCGTGGTCCGTTCTTGCTTTTTTTTTGGAGCGTCAACTCTCGCTTTTGCCGCTCTGGCGGCAAGTTACTATGGAGATTCGGATTATAATCCTAGGATTATTTCGATTTTGCCGCAGTCTGACCAGTAGGCACCGGGCAAATATGCTCGAAAATTTACCCATCATGCTTTCTCGCAATTCTTTCAAACATGCCGATAATGCCTGAAACCATGCCGATAATTCCCAGAAATTCTCACAAATTTTCGCTTGAAATCCAGGTCTTTCTTCGCATCCAACACCAAAGATGCATTTTCTAACATAAAGGAAACAAAAAAATATTCTTTTCTGTTTTCTGGCTCTGGCAAGTTCAGATAGCTTTGCTGGTTTCAGCTTGCCCAGCAAAGAAACCACCTTCTTGCTTTCCTCATCCCTTTCACTGTCACTGTGTCAGCCTCCTCCACCTCATCCGCACTATCCACTCGACAAACGTCAGTAACCAGCCGATTATGCCCGCGAAATCACCGATTATGCTCGTGTGATTTTTGCACCCTAAAATGCTCGATTTAGTGCCGGCATATTTGCCGGGTCCCTACTGACCAGGCCCAAAACTCATTTCATCTCGAGCAAAACCAAAGCAAAATACCGACGGAGAAAGGAAATGCCAAGCAGAATATCGAAAATTTTGTGGCAAAATTGTGCGGCAAAATATCGATGTGTAGGCCGCGCCGAGCAAATTTGGGCTATTGCGCGCCGGCGCGCCCCTTGCTAGATGTACAAAATGCGAGACAAGAACGATACGGTAATAATTGCCGTATCGTGCTTGTCTCACACACGTTTGAGTACTCGAAGTGAAATGTCGACAAAACACGAGCAGTACAGCAACTGCTCATGTTTTCAATTTGTCTGCTTTGTTTTGTGCCTGTCTTGCTCTTGGTCCAGTCTTGTTGGAACTGTGAGCAGCTGGTGAATGTGCTTACTTGAAGGGTGCCAATACTAGCAATCGGGAACTCCTGTTTTCAGACTTCACTGCATGCCGCGCTGCTTGTCCGACTGTAGCTAAGATCCCGACTACAAAAGTCGGCATAGATTGCGAAAACAGCCTAGTCCCGTTGGAATCAGTTTCGTATTCCTCGACCAAGCTTTCACCTGTAAGTACTTTAGTCTTTATGACGAGCATTTCAAGTGCCCAGACTGATTTTCCGTAAAAATACGAATACATGACATTTGTATTACTTTTCCCGTTTCTCTTTTCAATCCATCAAACGAATGCATGTACATGTACTTCGAAGTAGAGAGATAGAGGTTGCGCATAACGAAGGTTTCAAGTAGCGTTCGACAAATCGCGAATCAGGCAGCAACGAAACAAAGAAAAAGGCTAACTCTTAATTTGCTGGCAAAAAGTCCTATATATAGGATTTGAAAATGCGTGACCTTTACGCCGTTGTTATTGGTCATCATGAGTCATTCGTGACCCATAATAAGAGCATAATGGTTTTATTACTTGTAGAAGCTGTAAATATGTTTGAGGCATGAATGTTTACTTTTTAGATTCATAGGACATCATGAATACCCATTTTGAGCAAGAATTGGAATTTTGAGCAGCATTGTTCAGCTGGTGTCATGGGAAGGACTGGAGCAGTGAATGTGCAAAAGAACATTACAGGTGTGGCCCGGGGTGGTTTCATGACGACATATCGCACATGCCCTCGTGAAACTACCAATTTTAAGGATAAAAGAAGGTCCAGTAAAATCTCAAATCCTATATATAGGATTCGAAAAATAGGGCACATGCCTTAGAAATATTGCGCAAGGAGATGAGCCTTAGATGTCAGTATTTGAAAAATTATCTTATTCAACTCTCTATATCGACTAAGACCTAACGCAGAAGAATTGGTCACATACATTTCCCTATGCTCATGCCACACCCATTTTGAGTTGAAAATATGACCAAAATCCTATATATAGGATTTAGCAAATTAAGACGAAAATCGGTTGATTCAGAGCTCGCACAGAAGTGGGAACGTCAAGCTTTTCGAAGAACGGAAATAGGTCTAAAAATAAAATACATGTAGTTCTCAAAATGGGCCTCTCGGGAGTCAGGTATGCACGCGCTCAGTGTACGATAGTACGCACGTGCCGTATACTGCACGCACTTGCACGTGTAGCGTGGCATGCATTAGGGACCGGCGGATTCTGCTCCAAAAGGTGGCAGATTCTGCTCGAAAAGCAGTAAAATTGGCAGAACCATACAAACCTTATGGCGGGCAATTCCTCGGATTCTGCTCCATTTCTTTATCCACATACAAACATGCATGAAACTTACCAGAAAAAGTACCGAATTCTGTCAATTTTTCTGCTATGGCCAAAAAAAGTAGCAGGTCACCATCAATATTGTGGAGTAATGGGGATTGCCCTATTCAAAATTTAAATAATAATAATAATAATACCGTAAAATCCCGCCAGAGCGCCCCTACCTCCTCGACGCTTCAGGTGGGGAGGGGCGGATGGGCGAGTCCTACTGGCCGCATTCAGTGCTACATGAAAAAGTACTCACCCTGCGAAAACTGTTCGTGCATTTCGTACACCGACCAAAGGTCAAGAGCCAGGAGTCGTACAGACCCGACAAAACGCAGGGTTTGTGCGATCCTTGGTCAAGAGGGTGGGCACTGTTGCGTACATTTCCGGTTGAGCACGCGTCTGCAGTACAGTACGGCATCACAGACTGCGACAGAGTCATACGAGGATACAATCAATCACGTCCCTGACAAGAAGTCAGGGAGGGGCGGATGGGAGAGATGGGGCGCTCTGGCGGGATTTTACGGTAACCCCTAAATTTGATGTTTTCGGGATTTTTGTTCAAATTACGACTGATTTTGCTCAAAATAGGCCATTATGAGAAATTGGCCCGACATATTTTGCTAATATTTTACAAATCAACTCTAGCAAGTGTAAGATACTAGTAAAACCTAGAAAAGTGACTTTTCATCACAAAAAGTGTTTTGATTTCCTTTCCAGCTTCCTTAAATCTAAAATCAAATTTTCACCAGTTGTAGTCTTCCGGGTGCTGAGTCAATTGGTCTTGGTCCGAGGAAGCTGAGACGCTCCGTTCCTCCTTTATTCCCAATCAAACTCGCGCACCTCCACCGAAACTGGGTGCATGACTGCGGACTTTTCGTTGGTTCTTTCCGATAGTCTTTAGCAGCTAGCAGCTACAGTAGTCAAATTGAAAAGTGGGTGTTATTTTGCTAGTTTACTAGCAGGCCTGCGGCCGGAACCGGTCCGGTTGGTCACGTCATCACCGCACCAACTTTGTGGCCACAAAGGCGTTGCTATGGCATGACTGGACCAATCAAAAACTGCTTCCGGTGACGACACCGCCGTCCTGGCTTGACAAGGTTCCCTTCTCCAATTCAGGATTCAGGTCAACTCTCTACATAACATACTTTATAACCCGAAGGACTCTGGAGGACCGTACCAAAAGCAGGAAACGTTACATTGAGGTTTACATGAGCGTGGAATATAGGCATCATGTGTGGCCAGTGTTGCCTGGGAACTTGAAATCGATCTTCAGGGATTCTTTGGTTAGCAAGAAAATAAAATAAATCGTATTAGAAAAAAAACTGTTTTCTGATTGTGACAGAGACAGCAACAGGTTGTAATTGCCTCCACTCTAGTTTCAGGCTGAAGAAGTGAGTCCACAGGAAGAGCTGGAATACAAAACTCCCCAAGCGCCAAATTTGAGAAATCCGATTTCTAGCTCTGCAAAGGTCTAGAGGCGCAAGCAGGCCAACTTTTACTTTCAAAATCTGATTAGAAACCATTAATTTCATAACTGGAACCCAAATATGGATTTAGATGCAAACCGCGCATAAAATGAATCCCTTATTTGGCCATTATCCGAAAAGTGATGAAATGGATTTAGCGGGTTTTTGCATTCCCACTCTTCACATGTAGTAGAGTGTATGGGTAGGGCTTGAGCACAACTTGACGACACAAGGTACTGTGGTGTGGACGATTGGTACTCCTACAGGCCACAACGATGCGGATACAGCAGCAGTGTAGATGCTGAGCGTGGTGTGTCAATGTGCGCACAACACACCATAACATGCTTTGTGATTTTCTTCTGTCTTTAATACTGTCATCTATTTTCTTTCCTCCTTTGCTTCTTTCCTTCCATATTTGCCATTATGTTATTGGGACCAGTTCCCGTTTAATGTGTGAAGTAAAATACACACAAACAAACAACACACCCTCCATGTTGATAATAAATATTAATAATTGTTGTAGAAGGGCAATAACTTCCCAAAGCTTCGGGGAAAGCACCTGGGCTAGACAAAGTAGTTGCTTGAGTACTTGAAGCAGTAGCATTGCTTGATGACAGCGCATAAATGAAGCCGAGACCCTATGGTCGGTCAAGCTGCCCCTGCCTCTCCCCCACTCCTGCCATTCCATATGTCTCATCGCTGCCTTGCTGCTTTGTGCCGTCAAATGGTGTTAAAAAAAACATAAATAAAATATGCAAATAATAAATAAAATAAATAAATAAAGTCTTCAGTGTACAATCATCTGCTGGCTAGTCCTGATTGTTGCGGTGCGTATTCCGACTCTTCGTTTACTGTATTGTGCCGTGGTCGTAATGGTTATGGACTACAGTTAAAAGTGTTGGAAGCTATCTATCAACGTCTGTACAAGCCTAATTTGTGTGCAGAAAGATAGTATAATTGGGTTGAAATTGTTCAAGTAACGTCGTGTTTAGTGCGGCCAAGCTTGGCCGTTAATGTTCTAGGTGTAATGTACTGCTGTTATGTGTTATCACGTTGTCTTTCCTTCCTTTCTCCTTTGTTCAGTTCTCGCTTTGATTGTTAAAATTCACACTTGTAAATTTCACTGTTGTTGCTCTTAGTGTTATTTCTCTAACTTAGATTTTCTATAATAGTTCAATTTTTGTTTCAGTGTCCTTTAGTACAACGACGATTCCTGACGAGTGTTGTACGAAAACTTGTTTGAATAAATAAATAATAATATAGAAAGGAAAAGGACATAAGGATACGAGTTAAGAGTAACTCTCCATCACTGTAACTGGATACTATATACAGTCAGAAAGTGCAATCACTAGGAATGTCTCAGTACTCTTGTCAGTTGTGTGCCTAGTTATTGCACTTTCTGACTGTATAGTATCCAGTTACAGTGATGGAGAGTTACTCTTAACTCGTATCCTTATGTCCTTTTCCTTTCTACATTTATTTATGGCTCAACATCCGAGTTTCAAATAATAATATTAACTTAATTAAATACACTTAGAAGTTGCGACTTCGGCGGTAATAGTCATGAAGTTGATTGTTCCAACTAGGAACACACGCTTCTTGCCGAACTTGACACTTGACTGACTCACGACTGCCATCCGGAGCACACGAGGAGCACGTCGCACCTTCCACTCGGCAAACCTGCAAGAAAGCACCACTCCCTGCTCAATATACGGTGTTTCGGGGAATTCACCCCTCATCAGTTGAGCTTGAGTAGGCTGAGGAAGATTGTGCCTGAAAAGCACCACTTATATACTGCTGAAGTTCGTATTGTTGTCCCTCACGCGGACGTGCGACTAGTTGTTGGAGGTGACAGCGTTGCGAATAGCTATACTGGCTCTCAACGTCTGTTTATCACAACTCCATGAGCGACTCTGACTCACGCTGCTACCTGGAGCTTCACGAGGTGTTTGTCGCGCTGGAAACAAAGCGTCTCTGTAAGTTTGTATCCCTGGTGATGGTTTGGCCTGGAGAGCAGTATATAAGTAGTGCTTTTCAGGCACAATCTTCCTCAGCCTACTCAAGCTGAACTGATGAGGGGTGAATTCTCCGAAACACCGTGTATTGAGCAGGGAGTGGTGCTTTCTTGCAGGTTTGCCGAGTGGAAAGTGCGACGTGCTCCTCGTGTGTTCCGGATGGCAGTCGTGAGTCAGTCAAGTGTCAAGTTCGGCAAGAAGCGTGTGTTCCTAGTTGGAACAATCAACTTCTTAATTAAATAAAAAAATAAAAAATATAAAGGTACGCAGTGCGTATCATCTACTACTATATACCATGTTGGTGTTTGATTATGAGCATCTTATGAGCATCTTATTACTATAACTATCTCTATAAGTGAGGGTCCCTGGCTCGAGTCCTGGGAGTGGACAGTCAATTTTTTCTTCAGACTTTTTTTCCCTTTCCAACACCTCAATTAGTGAATGAGTAATTTTAAATCAATTGCTACAATGACCAATAGTACACGTGCTGTATGAAGGTAGGGTATCAAAAGACTCAACATGCCGTACACAGACACATTGCATACTTGTCATGTGTGTGATCTGGTCCTGGTCTTGAAAGAATGATTGAATGGGGGTATCAAACAGATTTGACCGCAGGTATGAATTCGATTGTCAGTCAGATCTCTGTGTTCGTTTTTCTTGTCGTTTTGCTGCTGCTGCATGGTGAATGTTGGTGACCCGCGAATCAATCGCTATCCGCATTGCAACTACCCTCTATAGCGCTGTAGCTGCTGTGCAGGTTCTACCAATCGCTGGGTACCGCTGAGTTGCAAACAATGGCATTGCCTAGACTGGTAAGTGAACCAGGGCAGTCTAGTCTTCTCTTTACCTTTCTGTTCTGTCCTGTCAGTATTGGATAGTATACGCTTACATGCCTACACACCTACATCATGACGCGTCCCTATGAAGTTTCTGTGAAGCTATTTGAAAATTCTAGGGTGAAAAGCTCTAAAAATGTTTCGCAAGTGGCCTAAGAAAGAGATACCATACGTCCGCACCTTTGACGCCATGATGGTATATTCAATTACAAAGCAGGTCTCAGTTATGAAGCCGTGGCTATATAAATGAGATAACATGAAATAATATGTTTTGTAGCGTGAAGCAATAAGCACTGTGCTAACAAAAATTCCAGCCACACAGAAAGGGCAAAAAGCAGATTTAGATTGAAATTTTGTGTGGATTTCAACTTGTATGCCATGTCATAGAAGGTGGCTCATTTTTCATCTACAATGGCTAAGAAAGCAGTGGATGTTTCCAATATAAGGCCATGGGGCGCTGACATACGGTAACTAGCTCTTGCTTGGTACGGTAATTAGGTCAATTTGACCCGGAGTTCATAACAAATCTCCCAAAAAGCCGCCGGTCATCTCTTTCTAAAACATACCGCAGGAACTCATGAATTTCACGGTTCACAGTTGCGTAGAAAAGCGTCGATTAGATGGGGGCAGCGCACGTGCTCCAAAATGCCAGCTTGACCAATCAGCAGTCAGCATTTCGTCGCATTTTGCTTGAAGTAGGGGTTGTTTGAAGGAGTTAGCAGCACTTCAGCTAGGTTCTACGAGGCTGGGACTTGGCCCAGGCACAGATGACAGGTGTTCCAAAAGATTTACCGAAACAAATTTTCATTACTCACACGGGTATGCCAGAACATACGCGTAACCTTCGTGAGATATAGTACAGTATTGGAAAGGAGTATCCAAAAACGTCTCGGTAAATTTCTTTGCCAAGTTCTCCTGAAAATTTTAAGCCATAGATTGTCCAAATCGACCAAGGGGGAGATGCTCTGTACTGATTTTAGTAACCCCGAGTCCCAGTGGCGCGTAACCGCTTGCGCGAAAATGTGTGAAGATCAAACAACAAGAAAAACGCTTGCATGCAGCAGAAAAGCGACGCGTGCCGTCGAAGAGAAAATCATTGTGCACAGATTGTTCAGTGTTCTCTCCTCAGTTCGCCCGCAGCGTTGGTTGCTGTGCTTTCATTCTCGCTGGAGTTCTTGTGGCAGCGCATTTCGCCATCATGGAGGAACTGGTACCCTGGGAAACCTGGTCTTCAGTCTCCTCCCCACCCTCCGAAATGAACGCAGCTTGCTGCTCAATGACGAAAATTGCATGCATGTACATGCATATGTAACGTTAGAGTGTCGGTCGACTTGTGAATTTGGCTCACACCCCTCACCCCCCCCCCCCCCCATGAATGATGTTCGTTTCAGGGATGACAAAAACATAATATGCAACGACCCCTAAGCGCACTCAAGACTAACAAGCCAAACCTCCCGCTGCAAACAAAGATTGTTAACAGGCTATGAGGGCGGCAGGACGAGGGTAGTACACAGAAGGGCACGGCAGGCCCACAGCTCACCTCAAGAACGCGGAAGAAACCCTGCCAACCCTGGAAGCTGAGGTTTATCAATAGGTGAAGAGGGGGAGTTACACAAACACGAGTGAGACAGACTGGCATGGCACTCTCTCTCAGTACTAAACACAAGTAACAGTTGTGATGGACCAACAAAACTACACCCTCTTGCTTTCTACGGCCAGGAATGCGGGTGATTGCTGGGAGATTGTAAACTCGTGCATCTCTCTAGCATACAGTCAGTGCACTGATAGCCTGATATCCCCATTGATGATTTCCATGTCGTTGTCAATTTGTCACCTCTTCAAGCGAGTCTCATCGACGGGTTACTCTTGGTTTCCCTTCTCGTCTATTTCTTCCCCGCAGATTGAACTGGTCCTCTTAGTGTCCCTGTGGGCTGCAGTGGCAAATGGAGTCAACCTCCTTCCTTCCTTTGTCGGGAAGGCCGATCGTAAGATTTTCTTCTTTTTCGTTTTCTTTACTAGCTTCATTTCACTTCCCCATAGGCAAAGGCTATACATGTATTTGCCTTCTCACTAGGTGTATTGCCACAGTTCCTGCACAGTTCCTGCACAGTTCCTGCACAGTTCCTGCACAGTTCCTGCACAGTTCCTGCACAGTTCATGATGAATATACTAAATGTAGTATGAGAAAGAGGGAGAGGAAAATATGTGCAGGAATGGACTCGGACGGAGAGCCAAGGATTAATTTAATGTTAACGTTATCGCATGAGCTGATTGTTTAGTAACTGGTGGTGTTAGCGGACAGTATAGCGCGACTTTTAGTTCCTTGGTCCATTTTTCTTTAGGAAAATATGTGTTTAATTTTCTAATGAAGAGGGCACAAACCTTTCTTGTCATCTAAAAGTTTTTCCATGTCCACAGCCGTGCATATGCCTTTTAAAAGATGACTTACTAGTTGCTACTACTCTGCGATGTTGTAAGACAGAGACCATACAATTTAACGGAGATGCGACATGTAATCAGGGAAATACAGGATGTGGAGTGGGCCAATGAGGCACTTACATAATTATTTCAATATGGAACGTGGGGGGGGGGGGGGGGTCCGTGGCTAAATATGGAACGGGGGGGGGGGTCCATGGCTAAATATGGAACGCGGGGCCCCCGTGGCTAAATATGGGACGTGGGGAAAGTAACCAAAATCTCAATGCTAGGCATGGAATGTGGAGAAAGTTCATTTGACAGTACTGGAAATCAGTCATATTTCGTAGTCGTTTTAATTTCGTAAATTTCGTAAGGCTCTCGCCACTTGCAAAATTAAAACGCTTACCAACATCTGTCACGCTCCGCACTCTACAGCACTCTGTGCATGTTTATGTACATAGGAGCCCGCGATCGATGGCATTTACGAAAGTTAGATGACTACCAAAACACCCAAATTAAAAACCGGGATGAAATTCTTCACACACCTGTCCACACACCTGTTCACACACCTGTTCACACACCTGCTCACACACCTGTTCACACACCTGTTCACACACATGTTCACACACCTGTTCACACACATGTTCACACACCTGCTTTGGTGATGTGCTACTAGTCTAGCGTTAACCCTGTGCCGAAAAAAATCGTTGATAAAATGCCGAAATTTTGCAGCACAGGAATTTTGTGTACTGTATTCTTACTACCGTAAAGTACTGTTGATCCCCCCCCCCCCCCGCCATGTCGCTTCCCAGCTGGGTTTTCGGCAGGGGGCGGGAATTAGATCAAGGCTGTCAAGTGCAGTACGATGTACAACAACGTAGACGTTCAGACTCGATGTGCTGGATTGTGCACATTTTCATCCTGGATTGGCAAGTATTGTGTACAGCAGTGTATGCTTCGGTTCAACATCGTATTTTCGTTGTATACGCCGAAGTCGCTTCACAGGTAGAAAAACGACAGGGGGCGGGAATTAGAGAGGGGCGGATCAACGGTACTTTACGGTAATTTTCGCTGGTTATTTGATTTTGCTGATTTCGCCGCTTGATACCAACCGGCCAAAGCAAATCGCAGGCCAAAGTTTGTCACAGAGACAAATGATGCATGATTGAGCCATGGATGCATGTGAGAGCAAAAATACCGATCGATTTCTTTTCTGAAAACCCCAATCGGCCAAAGTCTAATGACGGCCCAAAGCTTCATGTCGAGATTGGCCAAAGTTTCTCACCGGCCAAAAATAAAATTTTGTTTATCTACAGTATTTACAGTATCTGCACTTCTCACGGGTATATCCATTAGACCATGTCCAGTATCTGCACTTCTCACGGGTATATCCATTAGACCATGTCCAGCATAAGGGGCCGTCCGGGGTTACCGATTGTTTTTACAAAACGAAAAGTTTTAGTATTTTTCAGCCCCCACCCACCTACCCACCTTTTCTGCAGGTAAAACGAATTCCAATAAAATATTGATGTCAATTTTCGACATCCAGAAGTAACTGGGCATTCTCCATCAGCATTCAATAATTATTTTCAAAACGAAACTCCATCAAACCCACCCACCCACAAACGAAAACATTTCGTTTTGAAAATATTATTGGTAACCTTGGACGGCCCCTAAGTGAACGTGTGGACTGTGTTTGTGCATGGGTGACTTGCACTTGCACTGTTGACACTGCCGCGGGAATGCATATAATAATAATAATAATAATAATTCAAAGGAACAGTAGGGGAAGTGAACTGCCTGAAAAGAGAAAAAATCGCCAGACCCACCAGGACTCGAACCCGGGACCTTGCTTGTCATGAGCACTGCTCTAACCACTGAGCTATGGGACCGGGCTGAACCTAGAAGGCGCTGACAAGGTTTTCACTCCCAAGGCAGCTCACAACACGTGCCACACATACTGATGGCACTTGGGTCTTTCTCCCTCCCCCAGGGGACCAACCACGGTCAGTTTCTGGACCCTACCAGAAGTGAAAGAGAGTGATAAATTTTATGAAAGGATTGGCCAAGTGCCATCAGTATGTGTGGCACGCGTTGTGAGCTGCCTTTGGAGTGAAAACCTTGTCAGCGCCGTCTAGGTTCAGCCTGGTCCCATAGCTCAGTGGTTAGAGCAGTGCTCATGACAAGCAAGGTCCCGGGTTCGAGTCCTGGTGGGTCTGGCGATTTTTTCTCTTTTCAGGCAGTTCACTTCCCCAACTGATCCTTTGAATTTGAAGTTCTCCCAATCCTTTCAAAATAATAATAATAATAATAACTCTTCACTAGTTTGAGGGAAAGACACAAACGGGAAAAGTCTGAAGAATAAATTGACTGTCACCACCAGGACTCGAACCAGGGACCCTCGCTTGTAGCTAGCGATGCTCTAACCACTGAGCTATGGTGTAGTCGTCATCCCAGCAGAGACTGTTCAACATTTTCTTCAGACTTCCTAACTCACACTTCCTGTGAATCATAATAACAATAATAATAATTTGAACAAACGGCGAGGAGACAACAATTTGATAACCGCAATCAGTAATACAAGCTGGATCGACATTTGTGTACACTTTATTCATGTAATGTAAAACTGTGGAGACAATGTGCAATAAAACGATGAAAATGTGAAGAAATGGTGTAGGGAAAATAAGGATTCAAACCAATTTTCGTACAACTCTGACTTGCTGAAGAGTACGGTTCGACTTTTTCGAGCTCCGTAGTTTTTCGTGCGATTTATCAGCCCAGCCGGCACCAGGCCGGTCTGGAGGTAGTTACAGGGTAGAAGAGAAGAGTGGTGAGTAGTAGATAGTCTAAGTAGTACTAGTAGGTAGACACAGGTAGCTATGCCGGCCAGAACTGCCACTCGCAGCCTGACAGAATCGGAAATATAACTTTTGAGCTCCATCCCTGAAATTGAATCGTCCGTCTTTGAAATTGTCAAGACGCTGTCAGCGCTCGTGTCGTCGGAATCTGCAAACCGGGAGGTCCGTTTCAAAAACCGGATTGACGAACTGGTCATGCATATAACAGGATTGAAAGAGGAGGTTATCGCCATGAAGGAGTCCGCCATTGCAACGGCAAGTGTTACCTCTCCTCCAGCTGAACAACAGCCCCAGAGTACGATGAGGCGGAAGGGATCTCGTACCCGTACGCGAAGAGACCAAGTCACCAAGTGCACTGGTGCAGCAGCAGGAGAACACCGTAGTGCTTTCAAACGCGTACACATGGATGACACTGGCAGTGATCTTGAGATTTCGAGTGAGGAAGACGAAAGTTTTCAGACTGTTGGGCGCCCCCCAGTCAAGCCCCAGAAAACATCGTTCGACCCAATCGCTGATGAATCATGGAAACTAGTATCCAAAGAACCCCACCAAACAAGGAAGGCAGTCGTGTATGTGGGAAATCTGCACGCGGATTGCACAGAGGAGCGAGTGACAGAGTTCACTCAGCAGCAATCTGTGGCCGTGGCCAAATCCGTCAAGGTCCATGAGTGCAGCATGCACACCACGGAAGACGGGAAAGTCTCCGCCCGATTGACGCTCGACGCCACTGGCTTAGAAACAGTCACTGCTGCAAACTTCTGCCACGACCGCTTTACGCTCGAGCCTGGCGACACCGCAAACGGCCGCAGGGTGACAGCTCATCTGGTGCATCTGGCGCTGGCAACATGGGCAGCAGAGGTTATAGGGACAGTGAGGCAGAGGCTGCCTCAGCTGGAGCGATTCAGCCACACAAACACCAATGAACACCAGCTGCGCAAGGACATACCCAGTAATGAAGCTCCTGCTGACAAATGCTTTTGGGTTGCTGTCAAAGTTTGGAGCCTTCCAGCATGCTGTTGCACGGAGCAGATCTGACATCGCCATTGTAACAGAGACTACATTCACCCCGGAGAAAGCCTCACTATCTGACTCCTCCATGCCGGGCTTCCACCCACCCCTCCGACTTGACCGATCTGCTCAAGGTGGCGGAGTTGCAGTCTGGGTCCGGGACTCCCTCTCCTTTGACCACCTGAGTGACATCAACTGCCATGGCCATGAGGTCATCTGGCTTCGCCTGCACCTGGACAATGGCCAGAAAGTAGTTGTATGTGCAGTGTACCGACCCGGGTCGTGCCCTGGACAAGATGTCTCTCTGCTTGAGTATCTTGACTCAGTCATGGATCAAGCTCGATCCCTCGGGAACAGCGTTGTGATAGCCGGGGATTTAAACGTTCATAATGAAAGCTGGCTATGCAGCACGAAGACTACACCAGCTGGTAAATACATGGAAGAACTCTCTGCGTTCCACGGGCTCCACCAGCAGTCCAGCGCCAGCTCCAACCAAGGCTACCGGACCCGATGGCATCCCTGCCAGAGTTCTGAAGCAGTGCTCAAATGTTTTGGCTGCACCACTTCAGGGCCTGCTCTAGACATTCAACTCAGCCCGGTCAGAGTGTACCTGGCGCATGCAGGCCAGCCGGGTCAAGCCGGGTCAGATCATCCTGCAGAAAAAACAACCAAAAAGCCTGCTCAAAACGCAGGAAAACAGAAAGGCGAATGTATTACCGGAAATCGGAAATTGTAGAGAACAAGGCGAACTATCAAAGTCCGCAAACGTAGAAGGTAAACGACATTATGTGAAGAATGCAAAGCAGTAACATAATAGAGCACTGGGGGGGGGGGGGGGGGGCTGCAGCACCTTGTGGAGTGGCTGCTTGCTGCGACTGAATCACCTGCATAGCCAAGCCGACTGGCATCTGCTGCACCATCTGCTGAAAGGCTTCAGCAGACTGGAGAACTGGTGGAGTTGCAACTGCTCCTGCTGCTGCTTGCGCTGGCGCTGAGTGACTGGCGCTGCTGCTGCAGCTGCTGCTGGCGCTGCTGTTGCTGGTGGCGCTGTTGCTGCTGCTGGTGCTGCTGCTGCCTCTGCTGCTCTGGGTGTGCGGGCCAGGTCCCTCCGTTCAGACGAGGTTGACGTTGCAGTCGTAGTGCGCCGAGTCACCTCAGAATGCCATGCAGCCATAGTCTTGTCATAGTTGAAGCAGTGAGTTCTTACCTTTCAACCACGCATCGCAACCAAATCCACCGCCGCTCGTCTTCCTTTGGAAATGCGTCTTGCACAAAGCGCATGACATGGATAGACTGCCTTGGTCGTAGTCCAGCCAGGGTTGACCTTTCTTCCAAGAGTCTTGGAAAGCGTGAGTTTTTTTTTCTCTTCGCTGCGGGCTCCATCGTCCAAATCACCAGTCGGCTGAAAACTTGCAACTGTGTCAAAAGCTATAGCCAAAGTTACGCTTTTGACTACCTGCCCCATCGACTTCCTGCGTGATGTCCTGACTTCCTGCTCGCCGCTGGCCAGATCGCGCTCGAACCAGTTGACCACAGTTGACCCTAGCCGAGTTTCTGTCGCTTGTAGACTGTAGTCTGTAGCAGGGAGTAGTAAAATACACTGGTCTGTAGTGTGTACGGGTGCGCTAGATTTGCAACAGATGGGGTCCGCGAGTCGTAAAATACGGGTATTTTAGGAATCCATTGTCAGTTTGAGACATTTTTCAGCCGAGTCAGACTGGACCCGGTGTTATCTGTTCAGCCAGGTCGTGCAGTTCCCCAGCCGGGCGCGTGACCCGGCTGACCCGGCTCTCCAGCAGGCCCTGCCACTTGCCAAGCTGTTCTCACTCTGTTTTCGGTGCCATGTCCAGCCCTCTCTCTGGAAAGTAGCCCGTGTGGTCCCGATACACAAGAAGCAATCTCATTCTGCTGTTAAGAACTACCGACCTGTGTCCTTGTTATCTGTTGTCTCCAAAGTCATGGAGAAGATTGTCAACACTGCCATAATCAATCATCTTGAGCATGAAAAGGCTCTGTCCATCCACCAGTACGGATTCCGGCAGGGGCTCAGCACATCTGACCTTCTCACGTCTCTCAACCACTCCTGGGTCTCCGAAGTCAACCGTGGTGGCGCAGTCCGCGTGCTGGCTGTAGACATAGCAGGAGCATTCGACAAAGTTTCACACCGAGGCGTACTCCACAAGGCTGCGTCATACGGCATCACTGGTCCCCGCCTCAACTGGCTGTCTGACTACCTGTATGACAGGAAGTTGCAGGCAGTAGTCGGCGGAGCATCTTCAGAACCATACAAGATTGATGCTGGGGTCCCACAAGGGAGCATCCTTGGGCCCACACTGTTTTTGCTGTACGTGAATGACGCCTGCGACGTCCTACCGGAAGGGATCACTCCGGCTGTTTACGCAGATGACACCACGCTTTATGCCCACATCCCAACGCCACATGCTGTGACAGTGTGCCGCAACCTCCAAGCTGGTGTGGATGCACTTGCTGAATGGGGTGCTCAGTGGCGCGTCACTTTTGAGCCAACGAAATCACAGGCCATGACTGTGTCCCGCCACCGCAGACCCTGGGAGACACCACCCATCAAGTTCAACGGCACAGCGGTCCCGGAATGCTCGCGGCTGAAGCTCCTTGGAGTGACGTTTGATGCCCATCTAACATACTCGGAGCATCTTCGAGGAACTGCAGTGCGTGCCACACAGCGAATTGCTTTCTTCCGGAAGGCGTGCCATGTCCTGGACCCACCGGGCCGGGCCACAGCATACCGGGGTTCATTCGGCCTCTAATGGAGTACTGCCCACTTGTTTGGATGGGAGCTGCGGCTACCCATCTCTCACAGCTGGACCGAGTCCAGCATCGTGTCCTCCCCCTGATTGGGACAGGGGCTGCAATGGACACTCTGTCCCTGCGGCGCCGTGTGGCCGGCCTCACAACTCTGTACAAGCTCCATTACATCACAAGCCCACCAGCTCTTGCAGCGACACGTCCAGCCAGAGCCATCACACCCGCCATCGCGCCTGCCACACGTCGCCGCTCGGCAGCCAACCTTGCGCACGAGCTTCAACTCCAGACAGCCCTACCTGCCAGATCGTGCAATGTTGCGCTGCGCTCTTTCCCAGAGTGCCTCATCGAAGCCTGGAATGAACTGCCAGCCACTCTCCTCCGCGATGCACCGTCTGCCAAAGGGATGCAGCAGTTCAAGGTTCTGACCTACCGCTACCTGAAACGGTCAGGTTGGTCATTGGCCACGGACATCGCCCCCTAGGCTACTGCCAGTACGACCCTGTTCATGTTCTCGGAGCACTCCCTTCTCATCAAACTCCCAATCCATCTGTCTTTATCTCTCTCTAACTCTCCTCCATTCTCACTCTAATCTTTCGTCAAATCTGCACGGCAATCAGCCTCTACTTTCGCCTCAGCATCATGATCTTGATACTGCTATCTTCGTACTTGTTTGCGTACTTGTTTGCACTCATATCTTGGAATAACACGTTTCCTGGTTTCTTCCCCTCCCTCCTCTCTTTCCTACCCTTAGAGTTCTTGCTCTCCTGCTCCCCTCCCCGCCCTTCCACTCCCCATTTTGTTTCCTTTGGTGCACATGTGCAGTTGTGATGCCGAGACCCTTGGTCGGCTGAGCTTCACAGGTCCCACCCACTCCGTCCTGCTGGATATGTACCATTGTGTCGAGTTCTTCTCCTCATTTTAGTTCATCATGCAGTGAGTGTTCAATAGTAAAAAAAAAAAACAAAAAAAAAACAACACTCATCAGGAATCTTCGTTGTACTAAAGGACACTGAAAACAAAATTGAACTATTATAGAAAATCTAAGTAACGTTTAGTTAGAGAAATAACACTAAGAACAACATCAGTGAAATTTACAAGTGTGAATTTTAACAATGAAAGCGAGAGCAATAACGAATGCGTGTACTAACACTAAACTTGCAACTGAAAAAGCTGTTATTTGTTATCACTTTGTCCTTCCTTCTTTCTTTCTCTTCTTTGTTCATTTTTCAGTTGCAAGTTTAGTGTTAGTACATGCATTCGTTATTGCTCTCGCTTTCATTGTTAAAATTCACACTTGTAAATTTCACTGCTGTTGTTCTTAGTGTTATTTCTCTAACTGAGATTTTCTATAATAGTTCAATTTTGTTTTCAGTGTCCTTTAGTACAACGAAGATTCCTGATGAGTGTTGTACGACAATTTCTTTGAATCCTTATTTTCTCTACACCATTTCTTCACATTTTCATTGTTTTATTGCACATTGTCTCCACAGTTTTACATTACATGAATAAAGTGTACACAAATGTCGATTCAGCTTGTATTACTGATTGCGGTTATCAAATAATAATAATAATATCCATTAGAATGTTTTGTTTTGTGATGTTTTGTAGCGTCATGTAACCCTGGGTATTACTATTTCACACCTGTGCCTAATTTCCCTGGAGACCCAGGTTGCCGAGGTAAGCAGTATCCGTTATGGTCGTAAAGACGCGGCTGCCATGGTAATCACTCTATGGATGCAATGTTTTTGGCTTCTAGGTAGTTTTCTCAAAACTTTCCAACTCCACTGCAGGGTCTTCTTTCCACTTTTGAACATCTCTAGTTCTAACTTGGATGTTGAGCCAATCATAGATAGAGAAAGGAAAGGAACGGAACATATGGATGCGAGCTAAGAGAAACTGTGCACCAATGTAACTAGATACTATATACAGTCAGAAAGTGCAGCAATGACATCAGCACTCTGTCAGTTTTGTGCCTACATGATTGAAGATGTTGCACTTTCTGACTGTATAATATCTAGATACAATGGTGACCAGTTACTCGTAACCCGTATCCATAATAATTATGTTTTCCTATCCGTTCCTTTAATACCTCAAGTTCTAGTCATTTGTTGTTTATTATGTTGGCCGTTAGTGTAGGGCATCGGGTTTCCCCAAGTGGACTGGTGTACGCTATCTCTGTTCCTGCCTGATGGAATTGCTGAGCAAGGCGATAGCACTGCCAACAAGATGTTTGGGAAGAGAGAATGGCAACAGCTCAAAAGAATCCGTTCAAAACCGTACTGGTGAAGTGGATGAAAACAGTCCGCTTCCTGCCTGTCGTGACCACCGCACTTCTTCTTGCAAGCACACGCGCACACACACGCACATGCGCACACACGCGCACATGCGCACACACATGCGCGCGCGTGCACGCGCACACATAAACATACACACACACATGTGCACACACACACACACACTCACATACATACACTCACATACATACACACACACATGTGCACACACATGTGCACACACTAGGGGTGAAACGATTAAGGGATATTCCTTAACGGTTAATCCAAAACTTATCGATTACTTATCGATTACTTATCGATTAAGCACCACTGACGAAAAAACTCACCATTTTGCATCAACTACAATTAATTTTAGAACTTCAAAGAGAACAAAAATAATGGAAACATCTACCGTCGCACAGGCACAAACTGATTCTGAAGGCTACTTGTCCAGAACAGTGAGTTCCGTGAAGCAACCGGAACGAAAGTTCGCGGGTACGAATCAGTGCACGGTGCAGAGAAAAGAGCCGCGTGTCATACAATAGATCTAGAGAGTACATCAGGTAGATCTACCGGGTACGCGTGTAGTGTGTATCCAGAGCATGAGCAACTCGCTGTGCGCGCTGCACGCGTTGATTGACACCTCCGTGCACGCGCGCATCCACTCGTACTCTGGTACATGTGCTGCACGCAGTAAAGTCATGTAGACACACTGCACATGCCGGATATTTCGTCGTACCGTATAGTATGTCGTACGAAAATGCTGTAGCGATTAGAAAAATCGTAATCGACTAGATTTTTTCGACTAATTTATCGACTAAACCACATAATCCTTTCACCCCTAGCACACACATGTGCACACACACACACACACACCTGTCCTGTCCTGCCCTGCACATTGCCGTAAACCGGTCACATGTCCCCTCATACGAGGGGCCGACAGACACGGTCGTTGAATACGGTACGCAGCACGCTCCGCGGACTAGCGGCCAACGAGAGTTCGGGTATACTTTGCGCAGCTGTGGAGTTGGAAACCCCTCTTTGATCGGCAGCACCTGCCACATGCGCTGCAATGAACCTGGCAGCAGGGTAGTGTTAGCTGAGTCCTCGCCAGCACTGGTACTGCCGCAAACGAGTTGGGCACAGACAAAGGAGGGTCCGCCACTGTGCCTGTAGAACGGTCGTCGTCGGGTCGACACTTACGGACAGCGAGGCCTCCGGCGCTCCTGAACCATCTCTTACACACCGGGCATTTCCTGCTCCCAATCTGATCTGCGATCGGCTTGCTGCGCTCCTCTTTGCACTTGTGTCGGGCCATACCACTATTCGACAGTAGGGGTGAAACGGTTAGTTCGAATTTTCGAGTATTCGTTCGAAAATTTCAAACGAGCGAGTATTTGAAATTTTGCACTCGATCGGGTTTTTTTGTTTTTTTTTTAAGGATTAGCATTCTATTTTTCAAAAACTTCTGTTGTACCGCTCATCGACTGTTATGCATGCATTATGCATGCCTTTGAGTCAGTATTTTATGAGCTGGACGATGCGATCAACTCGGCAAGTAACGTTAGTTTGTTATGAGATAATGAAAGTACTGATGAAAATCGTTACTTTACACTCTGTACAAGACGTTGGCGACTTTTGTTCTATGTTCACAGAAAATTTCTTCCGAATTGGTCGAGAACTCGCAAATCTAGTGCTTTTGAATTTTGATAAAATACTCGAAATAATCGAATACTCGATCGAATGTTATGAATGAGTGATCGATTGGTCAAAATAGATACTCGTTTCACCCCTATTCGACAGTGACCGGCCACACATCGCGCATGGTGTTTGTGGTTGCGGGGCGTGGTCCAGATGACACAACGCTGGAGTACGCCCCTCGCCATTCACTGCGCTCCTGTGCCAGGTCATACCGTTCCTCATCGCCCAGGTCGAGGCATCGAACATCCGCTCCCACGGCGTCACGCCATCTCTTCCGAGGGGCAGGATGGGTCGGCAAGAGGGCGCCAAACAGCAGCTGACGCGGAGTACGCTCCTCCTCCATTCTGCGCAGATGACCAAGCCACTTCATTCGGCGACGCAGGAGGCGGGTCAGTAGATTGTCTTGTCTGGCGGAGTTCCAGATTGCCAGAACCTCGGTGTTAGTCACGCGGGATGTCCATATGTCAAGTTGAGTGATGCCCAGGATCGAACGGATACATTTCATATGGAATGTCGAGAGGGCGGCTACATCCCGGCTCAGCGGCACCCAGCACTCAGAGCAGTAGAGCAATAGGGATACAACACACGCCTGATACACCTGGCGCTTAGTGGCAACTGATAGGTTGCAGGACACCCCCCCCCCCCCCCCCCCCGCACACACACACATACCTAGGGTACCTTGTAAAAAGACTCACAGTCTGGGGGGATTGCCCTAGTAAAATAATAAATACTACTACTACTACTACTACTACTACTACTACTACTACTACTACTACTACTACTACTACTACTACTACTACTACTACTACTACACATCTTGCGCACCTGGAGAGAGGAGATGTGCTCCTCTATCTGCCAGCCACGATTGACCTTCAGGATGGAACGTACGCACTGCAGATGAAAGGACTCCAGGCGACAGACATCACGCTGCCTAACGGTCCAATTCTCAGAGCCATAAAGAAGGATGGCCAGGGCAGTCACTCCATAGACAACGCGCTTAATGGCGATGCTAAAGTCATCATTGCCCAAAACTGACTCCCGCAGCGTACAGAACGCACCCGATGCAGCAGCAACTCGCCGAGACACATCAAACGGGCTCCGGGCGTCTGGCGTAACATGGCAACCGAGATAGCGAAAGGCCACAACGTGGTCAACAACACCATCCAAAGGGGTCTGGTCAGCATCCACACTACCAGCCCCAGCCGCCATGAATTTGGTCTTGGGCATATTGACACTAAGGCCAAACGTACCAGCTACATCCCTAAACGAGGATAGAGCCCTCTCAGCACCAGCATGCGTACCTGCTAGCAGGGCCGAATCATCTGCAAACTGACACTCCGTCAGCCGAATCCTGCGATACTCTGCCAATCTGGTGTTGAGAAGCCGCTCTCTCCGAAACTGGACGAGTGGGATCCCCAGCTCACCATCATCAGCAATCACGCCACGTCATCTCTCAAAGACCGCACACATGTAACGGTTAAATAAAACTGGGCCATAGTGCAGCCCTGCCGCAAGCCGTTCTCAACCCGAATCGGTGCAAGCAGGTCTCCACCCACACGGATACTGGCAGTCATGTCGCTATGGACGGAACTGATGATAGTGATCAGATTCCCGGGGACGCCAAGTCTAGCCAACACTCTCCACATAGCACTCCGCGGAACAGAGTCGTACGCCTTCCTCAGATCGATGAATACAGCGAAACCTTTCGTGGCATGTTCGTGCAACTTTTCCAGGATTTTCCGCACAGCAAACATCATATCTGATCAACCACGGCCCCTGCGGAAACCACACTGCGAGTCCGGCAGGCACCTTTCTCCGAGAACCTGCAGGCGATTGGCAATCAGGCGAGCAACTAGCTTTCCAGCCACATCCAGTAACGATATCCATGCCAGTTGTCGCAAGACCCCAGGTCACCCTTCTTGGGGATGAGGATAGCATCAGACCAATCCTGTGGAACGCTGCCAGTCTCCCAAACCACCTGTATCAGTTCATGCAACTTCGCAATCAGGGTAGGGCCACCGTACTTCAGTATCTCGACAGATATCTCGGATCCGCCGCATGCTTTGCCACACTTCATCCCTCGCAATGCACGCCGAATCTCATCACACTCAGGCACGACACCAAGCTCTGTCATAACCAGCCGCTGCTCGATCGAGTCCACTACCTCCAAGTCGTAAGCACTGGCGATGTTCAGGAAGCCATCGAAATGTTCACGCCACCTTCCACCCATGGCCTAAGCCGTATCACAGATCTCTCTCTGCTTGTTTCTGATAGCAGTTGTTGTACAGGGGCGCATACCACCCAAGGTGGTCTTGATAACACCGATACACTCCCAACCGCTCTTCGCCGTCGAGCCAAACCATTCACAATCCTTTGCCTGTCTCAGCAGCCAGTCCCGCTTCAGCCGCCGCATGGTGCGCCGCGCCGCACTACGGGATTTCTTGTACAATTCCAGATCACTGGCCTTCCGCTTTGACATCCAGGTTGAGTAACAACTGTCCCGGTCACAGAGTACCGACTCAATCTCAGTGAGTTTGTCTGTAAACCATTCTGCTGTCGGCGCCTCTCCCGACCCAGGCAGTCGCTGGCAAAGTCGATGGTGGTCGCCCTGAGGGTACTCCACCACTCCTCGATAGACGGATTCGGGGTCCAAACCAGTTACCTTCCCCAGCGCATCATCCATGCCTTTGGAGAATCTCTCAC